AATATGCACCAAATTGATAGAATCAATGCCAGAAAGAATAAATGATGTAATCAAAGCAACAGGTAGTTATACTCAATGGTGAGAATATTTGGTGAAATTTTTAATTGAGATTAATTTAATTTTTTTTGAAAAAATTTAATAAATTTGTTATATTTGCGAAAGCGTCATATTAAACGCACCATCATTTAATAATGAATCACGTGATAAAAATTTTTCCGATTTATCAAGTATTATTAAAATTAATGTATTATGAAGATCTTATAATATACTATATATTTAATAAATATTCAAATAATCAGATTTTGTTATTAATCATAAAGCATATGATTAATAATATGCAGTATAGTAGTGCGTTTTTTTTGGAAGCCACTGTATATGAGGTAATTTTGATATTAATAATCTTAAAACTTCACTGTCATTTTTATTATAAATATTTAAAAATGTGTTATGCTAGTCTAGAGTATAAGCTATATTATTTTTTGCTCCTTTAATCTAGTCAAAAACCATCTCCGATATTTTTCCTTTCTAAAGAAGCATGAAATTTTTCGAATTGAAATTTTTCTCACATAATTGTCCGGAGCGAAGTGGAGGACTATATATGTTTGTAAATGTTAAGTGTAATCATATCACATGACGAAGTCTATTTGTTCGCATGTGTCATGTTACTGAAATTTTTTGCTACACTGATAAATAAATCTGTGATAAATATAAGATAAAAGTGTTAAATGATGTGTTACATGAAAATGTAACATGAAAGTGTTACAGTACATGATAAGTGTGAAAAAAAATTTTTTCTAAAAATAACGAAGGTTTTTTTGCAACAATTAGTTAGATTCCACTATTTCGTAAAAATAAAACGTATATGCAGTTTTTCACGCTAATATAGTATAATAATATAAATATAACAATAATTATTTGGAACAAAAAATTTTACTTTCTATTTTTTTTTTATTGTTAGATCTGTTACATTTAGTTCTTGGTATCATGGAAACTAAACATTTCTCTTTGTCTAACCTTTCTTGTAATCTTTTGCACTCTTTAATACGCAGAAGTCTCTCGAAGTTAAAGGGTTTGAAGAGAAGATCTTCGAAGGCGCACACTTGAAATACTGCCACAAAAGAAAGACCTGCTACAAATTCTTTGTCACTAAGATCTGCTATGGTCTTTCGTAATATGGTATTCTGACTTTTATGTATCATAATTGTCTACGCAAGACGAAGAAGATGTATTTAAAACAAAGTTGTATTAGTGATATAAATTTTATTAATGAAAACGTAATTTACAAATTTAGTTAGTTAGATTTTTATTGAACTATAATATAATTATTGTTAATATTCCGATCACGTGATACTGATACTTTTATTAATTTTTTTTTTACATATTGATTGTGTTATATTCACTATTCTATCTATTGTATTATATTCAATCAAGTTCAAAACTCTAATCTACAAAAATACTTCGCTCTAGACTCACAACGGTTTTCGTTTCCTAGTATAACTAGATAACAGTTAGTATTAACATATCTACCAAAATGATTACCTCAAAAACTTGAAAACCCAAAACTAATAACTATGTTAGTATCTTGAATCGGTTCTAGAAAAGTATAATTTGTCGACTGATTCCACTTCAGAACAATTAAGTGAATATGCTCCTGAACTTGATACTTTATTTTCCGATTGGATGGCCTGCAGATGTATTAAGGTTGCCCTTATCAGAGGCACTGACAACAGACACTTATTTAGTAAAGAGTATATAGAGGCTCTTTTGCCAGATAAGAGAAAGGGAAAACTCACTATAGAGAAAAGGACACAATATTGTGCTAAGACTGGTGATTTTATAGACATTAGTGCTAATTATTAGTGCTTAGGTCTAAAGAGTAATGATGAAAATCAAATTGTTGCTGGTATTTTACATTAAGTTAACATTTCGTGTGAAGTTAGCAGAAGGTGATGTAGATTTTGCAATTATTGATACCTTTGCTAAAGATCAAAAACATATTCAAGAGTCTAATGAAATTCAGAAAAAGCGAACTAAAAAATAAATGGCTAATCCAGATAAAATCCCGTACATTTCTTCTTAGCAAATGTGCGTAAAAAAATTCAAAATATAGATGTTTCTAAAATTCCTAATAGAGAAAATCTCACGAATGTTGAGTGTTGAGTATGAGATCTGTGGAAGTAAGATTTCTTCAGATCAATCATTATGAATTGGATCCTTCGAATATTTCAGCATAATATAAAGAAGGCTATTCTTGGTACTGTACTGGATATTTTAAGAATAAAGGAAAAAAGAAGAAGAATCACATGCCTCACCCACTCCTTTCTATGAAAAAGAATCCAGAATGTGCAAAAGAATTGCTTACCTGAATTTAAGATACAATTAAAGCTAAAAAGTTATCTGACTCTGTATTTATTGAAAGTGAGACACATAGTGTTTGGCCATTTAATGAATTCTTAAATCAAGAATCTTATAGAACTATATCTAAAAATTTAAGAGATTATAGAGCTAAATACACTTTTAGAGTTCATAGTGGTAAAAATCCAACCACCTAACATCTTAAACTTCTTTTGAGAATTGCTATGAAGCAAGAATGAGACTGCCTTGATGCGAAAGATAATTATGCTATAGATGATATAGAATCAGAAGACTCTAGTTCTAAAGATAAGCACAACTTAGAGCTAGAGGGCTGTGAAATTTCTCAAACTTCTAAAGATATGCTCTTGTATTTTCATCAGCCTCTTCTGTTCTTTCTTGATTAGAATAACTAACAATATCGAGTTCATCCTGAATTGCTATTATATCCTCTTCCAAATACATAAACAAATTAAATATTTCTCTAAATGAAATATCTGTAGAAACTTTATTGCTTCAGAATGCTTCTTCTAGAATGAGATTACCATCAATATTGAGATTATTTCATATTGATAATATTCCTATTATCAAATCTATCAATAATTCATACAAATCAACAAGTAGTTTTTCTTTAATTACAGGCTTTGCTGAAGGTGTTAAAGGCAGATATACTGCTATTTGATTTGTATTACCAGGTCCCTCCAGAATCCCACCAATACCAAGTTTTTCCTGAATAGCTATTATATCCTTCTTCTTATATAAAAGCATTTCATATAACTGAGCAAAAGTTTTGGGATTATTATTTACCATAATTACTATAATAAAGATATATATTTAATGCAGGAAATTTTGAGTCTGGAATATTGATCATTGACTCAAAGTGGTGATCTTTAACTTAAAAGATTTTTTTGCTAAGCCACAGATTATGAGACAAAAAATAAGTAGATCATCAATCAGGTTTGTGCGATATATTAATTTTGCATATATAAAAGGCGATCAGTAGAAAAGGGAAAATCTAAATTTTAGTCAAAATTTATATTATTAGACCACTTAGCTAATCTCGATCATGTACATAAATTTGGCTTAATAATAAAAATTAACAAAAATTTTGGATTTCTCCCTTTTCTACTGACTGCCTCCTATATATTAGAAAAAGAAAACATATTAATCTTTATTCTTTATTTTTTCCCGAATAAACATGAGAAAAATGTGAAAGAAGATCTAGTTGCAATACAGAACTTACCGTAAAAGTAAATACAGTTAAACCTTGATATAGCGAACCCTTGATATAGTGAATTTTTAAATCAAATATATTAAAATTACCTTTACTATAGTGAACTAGCCAATTAAATTCTTTAAAAAATTCGTTATAAGCTTATAACGAAGTTGATATCCAGATCCTAGAATTCGTTATATCAAGAGTTCACTGTATTAATGTTAAAACTATATGTTATAAAAGGCTGAAGGACTCACAATTTTAAGATTGCTAGACATAAGATTAACTATGTGTCTCTCCAGTAGATCTACATGTGAAAAGGTAAGAAGATTCCATTTACATGTTTTTTTATGAAGCTCCTAGTATCAGATGATAATACTAATTATGTCACATACCTTCTTATCTTTTCCCAATAAGATATAAAGCATATAAGGGTATGTGGAAGTTCAGCCAACTTTTCGTAAAAATCTTTCTCAGAGAAAATAATGCAAAATAAAGTATGTATATGCCATAAATTATGTTTGTATGAGAATGAACAAAGAAATTTCTCACTATAGTCTGTTTACTTTTAATAAATAATCAAAAAATGGCAAATATTATTGACTTCAGGTTTAAAGTCAAAAATGAATTGAATGATAAAATCTTCAAAATCAAAATAGCCTGACAAACATCAGTTAAAGATGCTATACCCACTATTAAAAAAGAAATAGTAACACAATATGAGCAGATTTCTGATAAGATTAAGCTTTATATGGATAAACCAAAAAGGCTTGCAAAAGCGCTGAAACAAGATAATATGATTTCTAAGCATTTTAATATTGATCACATTGAAAAGAATCTCATCCTCATCTACCCCAATAATTAGAATTCTTTCATGCATATCATGTAGTGATATATTTGCAATTTTTTATGTATTAGTTGTTCTAGCAGTATTTTTTTATTTCTTAAATAAAGCATATATTACGTTTTTGTCATAAATCTTGAAAATGCTATATAATTATACAATACTCATGCGATATAAAATCATTCAGTGTAATTATGTATTGGAAAATATATGCAGTAAAAAAAAAATCTCAGATCAGTGTAAACAATTTATGGCTTTTATTTTTTCCCTGTACTAAATAAGCAATTGCTAATTTCAAAAGGTTAAATTTTGTTTTTATATTAAATTTATATTATGTTTTTTATGATCAATGCTACATTTATTCTGGCTTTATAATTTTATATATAAGTATAATATATGCTGTTTAAAAAATGGATTTTTTAATGATGTCTAACAAACTTCCTGCCAATGTTAAAGAATGGACTCTAGCTCACATTAAAAAATATTTCAAGAGACATATGAATAATTTAAGTTATAATGAAAATGACATTGAAAAAATCAAAAAACAGAATACCGGTAGAAAAGCTTTTCTACCGGTTAACTATACAAATGCTTACTAATGAAAATGATCCATTCAAAATTAAGTTTGGAAACACAACTAATATTATGAAGTTAGTAGAAAAACTAAAAGAAAAACAAGGTAAGTTATTGCGATAATATATGTCTCTTAAGTAAATTCAAACTTCTGTTATACTATAATTTATTCCTTATTTTTTTAAAGCAGAAGAGCAATTTACATCTGTTGAAGTTGTAACTGCCTCTGAATTCAATAAATTACGTGATAACTACCGAAAAATATTAAAAGAGAATAATACAATTATTAATAACATATTAAGTGAGATTAAAAGATTACATAGAGAAGAATATAATCCTAACTTGTTGGGTTTATAAGGAATTATTATGTCCGTATTATATAACCTTTTCAAGAATTTATTTTTTATGTATCAGTTTCTCCAGAAATATTTTTTTATTTCTTAAATAAAGCATGTAATAATATAATCATCTGACAATCCTGTACTATATCTTAATTAGGCAAATGCATTATAAATTGATACAAAAAATTTATCATTTTTTCCAAGTATCAGAAACCATAAATCAGCTTTACCTGTAACTGCAATTGAGTGCATTTTTTTTTGCAAGCACAAACTCACATATATAAAAACTATGTCTTTACAAGCTTCTTTACACGCTTTACCTGCCTTAATGATGAAAGAAATTTCCACTAGAATAATATCAGACATGATTAAGGATTTTGATACAGAGGCTTATTGATTATTTGGAAAGGAAAGACCTGAAGCTCAAGTAGTCTCACTTTAAAATTTTACGTAAGGAAGAAATTGCTAGCTTTGACTTTCTCAAGTTAACTAAAGAGGACTTTTATAGTATTGGTTTCATATTAGGTCTAATAATAAGGCTTACAGAATTTATTGAAGTCTCAGCCAGAAGCTACAAAACTATTTCTTGCTTAAAACTCATGATGACTTGAAGAAATATTACGTAGAAATAAGATTAATAGGGAAGATATTACAAATATCAAGTAGTTTACTCCTGGTAAGTAATTAATTATTTTTTGAAACTGACTAGATAGTTATATTAACTTTATTTTTCTCTATAGTTTTTGAGGAGATTAGTGATGATAATAAGGCATTTGAATACTGTATAAAGGATATTATCTTAAAACTTTTGAACATAAAATTATGATCAATACTAATAAGGCGATGCATTGTAAATTTATTTCAGCAATATTACATATATCAATTGCTATCACTAAAAAAATTACTTCTCTAGATATTTTTATAGTGTTACAGAAGGATATTTCAGAAGAAGATTCAACCGGCTGAGTTGACTATGCAATCAAAACTCTAGAAGACCTCTTATATATCACTAAAGGAAAGTCTCATAATATTAAGATCAGATATGTGCCAGTATATCTACTACACAAATCTGTTTTTAGAATGCTAAGCTAAAAGAGATTCAATAATAATATTAAAATATTTTATTTTCTTAGAATCTGGCTTAGCTTAAAATGTGTTCCAGACAAATAAGAAGAAGCGGATTGTGGATCAGGCATTTAGGAACGACTATTTTGATTATATGGGTTCGTTACTAGCAAAATCAAATTTGGAGACCTATCCAATGAAAATTAAGATTTTAATTTCATTTTAATATGTTACACATAAATTTCATTTAGCTAAAAAATCATATCATATAATCATAGTACTAATTCGAGCAATTGAGCTTTAAGTTTATTAATAAAAATTCTATAAATAGTTTAAAATATAAATATTTTATTGAGTCATCGACTGGATTCATGAAATCAATTACCACACGCTAAAATGAAAGATGTTTGCATTTATAGTTTAATTATTTTTTGTAACTACAAGTTTAAAATATATATTTTGATTATTCCGCAGTAAATTTATTAATAAAGAAAAAAATAAAAATAGTTTTTGTTTATTTTTTTTAAATATCTTTTTTTTTGTTCTTATTTTTTTGATCGCTAACATTACAAGGTCACCTGTTACTTTTTTTCCCTAATTAATAGCATGAACACTACCATTATACATCAAAGTAGGAATACCTTTTCTGAAACATTTGCCAATGCTAAAGCATTAACTTTTTTTCTCCTCCATTTATTTGTTCTTTCTTCCTTCCACCTTTTTCCACCTTTTTTTTTTCCTTCTTATTGTTTGTTTTTCCTTTTTGAGTTTTTTTTCAAATGATAATAATATTAGTTCTTTATGAAACTTATAATGTTAACTGCCATTAATTAGAATCATCAATAACTTGCTATGTTTCCTTTTTCCATACAATTAAATTGATTCAAAGAAGAAGGTTCTGATAGAATCTTCTTTTTTATTCCTTTCTTTTTTCACTTTTTTTATTTTATATTTTTGTTCTTTCTTTTATTTTCTATTATCTTCTTTTTTTTGCATTTTCTCTTTTTTTCTTTTCATTTACTTTTTCTTCCTTATTATTAACTTTTGTTTTTTTTTTACTATTTTCTGTAATTTATTTTCCTATTTCAATTCACGCTTCTTTTAGTTTGACACTTAAATGAATAGAAACTAAAAATGCAAATAGTAAGCCTTTTCCTATCTCATTCATATATTGTGGCAAATTTTTCATTAGAAAGGAAGGCGTTGCTATGTAAAGTTTTTATTCAATTAGTATTTCTAACTAATAACTTTAACTTTTTAACCAAGTTCTAAAGTGTTTTTTTATATATTTGTAAAAGCCTCCTTTATTATATTCAGCATTATTTTCATTTTCACTAGTGAAGACCAAAGTAGAAAGTGTTTGAGTTTCTAGCAAAATTTATAGACCTTAAGTTAAAGAAATTTATTGACACATTGTTCTTTTTAATTAATATATTATAAAACTGAATATTTATAATTGGTTTGTTCCGCTTATGTAAGTGGTTTAAACAATAGTTTGGAAGTTGTTAAACATTGTGTTTGACATTCCTTTCCTTTTCTATGATTTTGAAAAGAACATCATAATCTAACATATGCATCTTTGGTATCTTTTAAACCTTTGATTTGTGATTTCTAAATTTAAATTGACAATATGAACTGAATCCAACTAAACTATTAGAATTATCAATGAAAACGTAAATAGAGTCATCAAATTTCTGGAGAGAAATCAAATCATTTAAATGGAAAGTTTCAGTAAAGCCGATATTATTGAATGTTAAATCAGCTGCAAACAAAGCTGTTGTATTATATCAATTATAACTTGAAGGAATATCAAACTTTTTAAAATCTTCATTAAGCTATTAAAAAAAAGAAAAAAATTTAAAGAATTTTAGCATTTTTGACCTCATTGAAATGTTAATGTCATCGTAAAAAAAAATTAGTATCTCACCTTTCCAACATATATCTCGGGGTTTTTATCGATTTTCTTTGTTGATGTTCTTTTCTCATAAATTGTTACAATACTTTCAACTTTTCTTCTTGGTGATGATGATAATAGTTGTACTTCCTGTTCAGGATTATAACTTCACATAAAAGTAATTGGAATCATATTCAGATTTATTTTTAGTGTGATCTGAATAATATTTAGAATCGAATTCATTTTCAGAATAATATAGATTAAAGATTGCAGTTATTATTCCTAGTGATTATAGAACTGAAATACTTTTCAATAAATAATTCATATTTATTTGCTTTACTTCTACTATACAGTATATAATTATATATTTTTATCATATAACCCTAGCAAAAAAATAAAAAAATTACCTACTTCACAAAACTAAATAGAAATAAAAATAACTCTTGATATATAGAAGTACTGCTAACTTATATAATGGACTTTAGACTTCGTTATATTAATCAAGTAAAGGTATTGCGAAATATGAGGAGACTAGTATTTTATTTTCTTTCTTAAAATTTGACTTCAGTATATAAAAAGTATAGAAAAGTTGATTTTTAAAATGAATGGCGAGTTTAATCAACATTCATTTAACTACATGTTTTATATGACAAAAAATGAAATGGAAAGTGTCAATAAAAATTTTAATAATGTAGCATAAATAAAGCTGAAAAATTTTGAAGTTTAAATTGATAGGGATTCTTCTTAAGAAACCTTATCCATTAGTTGTTATATTGCATATGATAGATCTGGTGACCTTTACATTTAATCCAGCTTTTTGAATTATATTCTTTTAATGCTTCATACATTGCATCTGTACTTAAATTTACGCAAGAAGATGGCTGATAACAAAAATTACTAACTTGCATTTTTTCTTTATGTTTAAGTAGGTGACTACTTTTATTTTATTCATTCTTTTCTTCTCCTTTTTTCGCACATTATTTTTCTTTCCCTCTTCTTTATGTCATTCGTTCATATTTTCCAATTAATTTTAAATATATTGGTTTACAAAAGGAAAAGAAATTGTTGAAATTATATTTATATGTTGTTTTTATACAATTTTTAATATTTTCACTAGTTATTTCAAATGACATTAGTTATGCTTTTAAGAATAGTTCAAATTGTAATTTATCTAAAGAACAAATTTCAATATGTCTCTCAAAAAAAATTTTGAAACCAACTTTTTTATAACAAGTTTGTAGTTTTTTTATTTTTTGAACTTTATCGACAATTACAATTATTCTTACTAAAAAGTTGCATTAAGTTATGAACCACATCAAAAACTAATTCATTTGTAGCATATTCATTTAATCTAAAACTAATTAAATCATATTGTGGTTTCGTAAATTCCATTATTAATAATAAATTTTTTAATGAAATTGAGAAAAAAAAAAGAATTTTTTTAAAAGAATTTTTTTATAAAGGGATTATTTTTTCTTTTTTACTTTAGTTTATACTTCATTTAATTTATTTAAATAAAAATTTATTTGATAAATGGTAAATAAAATTCAGTGAATTAAAATATTAAATATTATATACGTTACATGTATTACATATATTGCATATTAACGCAATTATATTTTTTAAATAAAAATTTATTTGGTAAATTTAAATTTAAAACATTAAAAATTAGCATATATATTTCACACTTATCAATGCTAAAAAAATATTGTATTGTTTAAATATTAAAATTAAAGTTTATTTGATTAATTAAAAATTTTATATAATGCATATTTATGCTAATTAATATGATAATCAATAAAATCAGAGATAATTGTTATAAAGAAATACCGAAGGTGAGTTATTATCATAAAAGGTAGCAGTAATTTTTTCAAAAAAAAATTAGTAAGTGAATGATAATTGCTTATTAGCTTTAAAATGATGCATAATATATTTTAATGGTTTAATAGTTATCGAATAAACGTGATTTAAAAAATTATCATTTTTTTTGCATATCACTGTATATACTGTATAGAGCTCCAAATCAGGTCAGGTCAACCTGTGACCCGATCTGACCC